TGGGATTGACCGTCACATTATAACGCTCCCACGGCTGAAAGAGCGAGCATTTTTGGTGAGACGGGGATACGAACCCCGGATTTTAAACATAACAGTATAATAATACAGTTCTAAACTCAGTCCGGAATCCTTGTTGTGAAGGTTAACAACTGAAGACCGCCCCACATGCGAGTAGCTGAAAATCAAGAGAGGAGTCTCTTTCTAGAAAACAAAACGATGATAGTGTAACAATAGTCGTTATAAACCTACGGGCAAACTGTAATACAACTAAAGGGTGAGAAGAAAAAGCAATTATTTTTAAATATATATTGGTATTTAAAACAAAAAAAAAACATTTGTTGCATCTTCCCAACACCTACACGACACCCCCCTGAAACCTTCCGTGAATCCCCCCGTTTGACAACATCTGCCCTAAGATACTGTGTAACTAATCGATAATAACAGTGCAGACTGCTACCTGAACTACTGTAACTTTTACTGGTTGCACAGGCGCTAAGCGACATGTAATGAAAACGTAGCATGGAAAAACCAAGTCCTTACATCAAGCCCACCTTTTATTTTTCCTCCGGAGCAGAAAAACGTACAATCCAAGTTATTGGGTTTGTACATTAAAAACCGTATTCTGATCACTACAGGAACATGAATAGGACCACGTGATCTGCGCGTGCCACGAAGAGAAGTGAGAGATAATTACCTTCACGGACGCAATTTGATGGGCAGCTGTCATGCAAGCGGTAATGTTGAGAGATAAGATAGGCGAAGTTGGAGGCGTGGTCCACGGGAGACTGCTCCACCGGAAAAATATTGAAACATCGTTGCACGAAACAGCTATGTTTGGTAGCATCGATGAGAAACGATAATATGTTAGTAAACTGGCTACCTGCAACTCCTGACTCCTTTTTTATTTTTTACCGTCAAAAAGAAGAGAGATGCAGAGACAATGGATTCTAATTTAGTTCACGAGCAAGAGAACACAAATCATTAACCATTTTACTTCTAGTATTTCACATGAAAAGTTTTTATTTAGTCTGTTTTGGTTTACTTTCCTCTCAACTGCTACAAAACTTTGAAAACCTGCAACTAAGGGCGCTTTAAAATATTAGCAGCTGGCGCCATCTAATTTCTTCAACTGAAGTAACAAGCTCAGAAATATTTTTTTGGCGAATTGTTCAGGTAAGCATGAAGACTTGGGGGAAAAAAAAGGACAGCTTGCACGGGTTTTTAATCTTACGATGGTCAATGTCAACTCTTTTTGTTGGTCAGTGTCATTCCTTGATCTGAAGATCACTGATGTTGTTAACCACATTGGTGAATAGAATAGGTACGGTGAGACCTTCTTCTCAATAACCTGTTTGTAAAATGAGCTTCCAGTGAGACTGGTCAATGCCAGCTCGTAGCAATCAATAATGTACAAGCGAGACCAAAGTGCCAGGAAAGACCTGACCAGCGCAGAACAAGGTGAAATGTTGACAGTCGAACAAAAAGATCCCTACAGCAGGAAGACATTTACACTTGATAACACTGCACTCCATTATCTGTCTTCCCCTCACGACAACAGTTTGCTCTTACGGTTGGTGTCCCTTGGGGGTGAGATTTACGTGTTGCAAGGATGGCTGGAATGAGAGGGAGGGGGAGGGGCGACAAGCCAGGGACTTCTCTAACAGGTTACTACCATTTCCTTGCTATGTTTCACACGGCAGCGCACAATCTGTTTAAGGACTACATGTACACTGGGTATAATCAGTGAACAAAAAAACCGTAGTTCATCACTTTCAGTTCTACTGTTAATAATCTGTAATACAAACGAACAAAATATAAGCCAAGAAACAAATATCTGAAGTTTCAACAATAACGCCACGAAACAGCGCGATTCACAGAAACGCCATCACAACATAAACGTGACCGTTTCGAACAGTACAATTGCAACTGACCTTTCTCTCGGTGAGAACGTACAAGTTATTTCGGTTTTGGTCGAAGGTCAAATCCTGATTCACGGGTGACCCTTCGTCAATCACAAAATCTGAGTACTCGAAAGCACTGGTGACAGAGTCCACCACGGCCTAGAATATGAAGAAAAACATTCAATTATCGTCTCTTCATCAAAATGATATAAAATCTTTAACCTACTCAACTGTAAAGAACTTCTTGTTAAAAATAAAACAATCATATATATATATATACACGCGCATATAAAAATCACACACATATATATATATACACGCATATAAAAATCATGTATATATATATATATAGACACGCATATAAAAATCACACATATATATATATACACGCATATAAAAATCATATATATATATACGCATATATATATACATATAAATAGTCATTGCACATACGTGCGCGTGTGTGAATGTATAAACACACACACACAAGAAAAGATGTATGGTAACACCGAGCACAAAAAGCAATACTATAAATGGGGGCGTGGGCTGTCTCTTCTACTATTTTGAGCCGTAGCACACGAACCGTTCGTCCGATGCAAAGGTAATCGTAAAGAAGTAGGCTTCGGGCTAAAACATTTGATCGTAATCTTCTCAAACCCTTATGTCTCACTCAAATAAATCACTTTCTTGGTGTACATATAACTCTTGAAAAATCCCCCACCCCTTTGGAGAAAAGTCTTTACCCACATAAATGACTTCTACTACAATAACTGGCATAAACACTTTTTTCAATTATAATTATTTTTAAATCATTCAGAATCCAGAAGGACTTAGTTAACTGTTATTTGACTGATCTGCTAAAGACTTGCGTCAATAAAGCGTATTAATGGTCGTTCTTCGTTTATTCTAACTGCCCATTAAAGCAGTTCTTAATCTCTCTCTCTCTCTCTCAGTAAAGAATAATAATAATAAAGAAATTTTGATTTCCATTAATAACTCATTTAATTGCAATTCTAAGAACGTAATATATCTTTTAGAACGGTGAATTCTATGTTGGTGAAACAGATAATTTAACATTAAAGATAAGTTTACACAAGTTCCATGTTAGGTAGCCCTAAAAAAACATCACTATATGCCAGAAGATATTTTAATGAATTTATTTTGAAAAAATAAATAAAATTCTAAAAACACCCTATTGTCATGTTCTCCGCTTTTTGGGCATGTAATAAAAAAAATATTTATATATATATATACACATACACACACACATATATACATGCACATATAAATATATATACAGACACATACATATATACATACATACACACACACACATATATATATATACACAGACACACACAGATATATACACACACATACATATATATATATATACACACGCACACACACACACACACACACATATATATATATATACACAGACACACACAGATATATATATATATATATACAGACACACAGATATATTATATATATACAGACACACACAGATATATATATATATATACAGACACACACAGATATATATATATATATATACAGACACACACACAGATATATATATACATATATATATTTATGTATATAAGTAATTCCAAATAAATAATTTTGTTCAACAAAGGTCCATACGTCTACTAACTAATTACTAACTCAACTTCGTATAACCTTATTATCCATGTTGAATAGTATTGACATTGAGGATTAATGGTGGGATTCAGACAAGTAAAAACAAATGTCACTCTAGATAATTAATGGAAGCGCTACAACGTTATTCTGGCATTCTTTTTTTGATTTGGTTCTAGATTTGTTGAAGTTTTTAATCAAAGTATACCGTTTTGTAATGATGTTACGTTAGACGTAAATATAAAATTAAATTATTTTAGAAAATAAATCTTGATATATTTTATCATGATAAGAACATCTGAAAAGCGCCCCCTCTCATACGTGCAGCTACAAATATTTCCAAATCCACTAAGCCTTAAACCAAACTTTTGTTGTTGTATTTTATTCATTATGTGATATGAAAACATGAGTAACAAAGGTTTTAAACTGTGCACATCTTCGGATGTGAATATATATATATATACTGTTTTATGGTTAAAAGCTAAGTTTACGGACTCACAACGCAAAAATCCGGGGTTCGATTCCGCGCGATGGACAGAGAGCAAATAGCCCATTAGGTAGCTATGCATCAAAACAAACAAACTGGCGAAGAAATTGACCAAGTGTTGTTTTTTTCCTCTATTTTTCTAGTCAGCAGGTAGAGAGAAAGAGAGAGAGAGAGAGAGAGAGATTTAATTCGCTACTGTTGTCCATTTCATTTCACCCTTAATGAATCCATAAGGCTTTATTTCTATCTTCTCCACTGACGGCCTGTCGGGAGGCAAATAATATTACAGATTTTTCATCGTTAGCCTTAAACACGAAATTAACAGTGAAGTCTTTACTAGCTACGGTTCGAACTGTGGGGGTTGAACTCGTGGATAAGTTAATTGAAAAACAAGAAACGAACGACCTACTTGATGGACTATAGCAGGGTGGCGAGGTAGTTAGTACTGGGATACTGTCTGAGTCACGGTTATATGTTGATCGGCGAAAACTCGACCATAATGTTAGCCGTGAGAGCTAACTTTGTCACACACACGTGGTGCTAATATAAGGGCGACTGAACAAGAGTGCGAGAAGGTCTACCTCTGTTTAATGTCTGTATTAAACTGGCTTTCATCGCAACTGTTATTAATAACACCAAGTGCTTTAATTGAAATGTTGAATTTTTACCCCCCCCCCTGGTGTCAATATATATCCACTCGCAAATATGTAGGTCTGGGATGACCTGATGATTAGGGCACTCGACTCGTAATCTGCAGGTCGAGGGTTTGAATCCCGTCATAGAACATGCTCGACCTTTCAGGCGTGAGGGCGTTATAATGTAATGTTTAATCCCACTATATGTTAACTAAAGAGTAGCCCAAGAATTGGCGGTGGGTGATGTAAATTATGTGCCTTCAATCTAGCTTATCGTTGGGGACGACTAGCGTAGACAGACCTCCAGGGGATTCTTCTGTCATACAGAATACTTGAACATATATCTTCAGTTTCACGTCAACAGACAAAGCAAGTTGAATCAGTGATTAATTAAAATGTACTTATATACCCATCACAAAACAAATCTAAATATAATTTTATGTACCTGTAAAATTTATCCTATTAACAAGAAATATTTTCCAAAGAATCTGTTTGTTTGTGATTAAGCACAAAGCTACACAATGGACTATCCGTGCTCTGCCCACCACGGGTATCAAAACCCGGTTTCTAGCGTTGTAAGTCCGCAGACATACCGCTGTGCCACTGAGGAGCTTTCCAAAGAAATCATCCCAACTTATTTTATTTGTCTGTGATTGTATTATTACGTATTGTGAAGAAATATTTGACAAAAGTATGCTCGACTTATTGGCTTAACCTTAAACAACGATATCACTTACTTATTATCGTTTTCCGTTTTATATATATAACTTAGTTGCAGCGATAACAAAAAGACAAACTTGATTTTTATTTGAATCAATTTTACAATATGTGTTCATCCGGGTTCTATGAAACGCTTTTACTCACACCCTGGGGGCAACAAATATGAATTACTTATGTAAAAGAAACTAAAAAAAAAACAACGTCATCATTTAATTTCGATAAGACGATAGTTTTGATAAATGCAATTCCATTAAGTTTTTTTTTTCTCAAACGTATAAAAATACATTATACGGTAACTGAAATACATATATATGTCACGAACAACAAATTATATTAGAGCTATTATAATGAGCATCCATACGGCTGTTGGTTGTTAAGGTTTTTTTAGAATAAGATATAATATGAAGTACAGTAATTAATATTTTTCTACAATATATATATATATATATACTTAACTAGAAACCATGGTAACTTAAATTCATAAAGCACAGTTCTGTGTTGTTTTTTTCCCATAGTCCTTGCGAACCGTCGAGCCGATGGCATATCTTGCTCTGCCAGCGTTTCTAAAGCTGTTTCTTACGTCAAGGATGCAACCCACTTGACAGCCTTCCCTCTTGGAAAGGACGAGCATGTTTGGTGGGACTGGGATTCGAACCCGCGACCCTCAGTTCTGTGTACGTAAAGTTAAAGATTCAGCAGATTCAAGATTGGCAATAAAACATGTAAGTCAGTGTTTTTATCAAAATTTTTGTTGAGAACCAAGGACTGCGCTAACGTTGTCCTCAAGTTAATGACATCCATTAATTTACTTTTAGGTTTGGTCACAATAATATGCCTCATTGCCAACCCCCCAATTAAAAAAAAAAGCTGGACCGGGGACTGTTCAGAATCACCTGATTTTGATTTTGGTGGACTACAACGGAATCTATACCCAATGTTGCCTTTTCCTAATTATGCAACCTTTCCACGGACCACACGAAGGGAGATCCGCAAATCCACAGATTGAGAAGCTCTCATGTAATATATTTTCAAGTGTCTTCGCTGCGAATTTACCAAGCTGGTTATAAAATTAAGTTTTCAGTAAGCCATTAAAATATAGGCACTGATCTGCTTCAATTCTCTTTTGGTTTATTATCTACATTAAGCGCATAATGAATTCATTTCCAAACGCAATCTTATGAATAAAATATTATTTACTATTTACGCAGATGTCTAGAACATAGATGATACGTATATATACATTAGGTACTCTCACACTTTAACACGATGAGGAAACACTGGTTTAATACTTTAACACGATGAGGAAACACTGGTTTAATACTTTAACACGATGAGGAAACACTGGTTTAATACTTTAACACGATGAGGAAACACTGGTTTAATACTTTAACACGATGAGGAAACACTGGTTTAATACTTTAACACGATGAGGAAACACTGGTTTAATACTTTAACACGATGAGGAAACACTGGTTTAATACTTTAACACGATGAGGAAACACTGGTTTAATTTGACGTCACTTCTCCATTCTACAATTATAAGCACACAGCAGGAATTTCGGTTGGTTGTAGTACCACCCAGAGTTGTAATTTGTTTGTTTGACAAACTTTATGTTCACAGCCTTCTTTTTCTTACCGCTAAGAAGGAGCAGTGCTTATCACCCCCTCCCCTC